ATTCAGCCAGATATCCACGGTGTCTTTAATCTCAACCACATTCATCAGCATTTATCTATATATATATATGTATATATATATATTATGATCTCAAAAGATGGATATAAACAGTATTTATGTATGTATCTATACATATATATATATATGTGTAGACATCACCCACTATGTACAGAATAAAAAATGAGACGCCGGTTTGGCACCATTGATCCGCGAGTTTTTCAATGAGACGTACACCTATATTATCCTATATTAATCAACAAAGCGGTGGGAAAAGGACATCTATGCCTTCCAGACTATGATATCTTGAACTTCCATGTCCTGTCCACAGCAACCAGCAACGCTCAAAGCTCAGTGCCTCTCATCTGCTGAACGCGCTACAGGGAAATTTCAACGTCCCAAGTCACAGGTCCGGAACGCCCGATAACGTCGAAACATGTGCGGCTGAAATCTCGTTTTTGTACTTCCTGGACCCCAAGATACCTTTACTCCTGGCTCGCAGGACACCTGGGGGAGCATGTGGCAAGGCTCCTGTGAACATTCCCCTTTGTGAACTTCGATGGTCAAGTAGAATATAATCATACAATATCATATAATATCATATATAATTACTGTATATATAATTTATCGTCTATAATTAACAATATCCAAGAACCATCAAGAACCTATAAATGAAACCTTCGAAAGGCTACGAAGAAGCGGCTGAATCTCGTAGGGCCGTAGGGACAGAAAGGCGGCCTTGACTCCAAAGGCCCCCCGCATGCAAGCGCGAGTTCCAGAAAAACATATGTGCCATGGTCAGTTCAACAATAATGGGATACATATTATATATATATATATGTATACATGGGATATACATGATATATATATATATAGTATTTATATATATACACACATATACGGGATATATATATATATACTTATACTGAGATGGGTATAAACCCAACAAACATAACCCAACAATATGATGTGTGTGGTACGGTCATCCATCCCATGCCTATCGGAATCACATGTTTTGACCATTTGTCGATCGTTTTCCCGGGGAAACCCTTGGTTTTCCACATCTTTTTCTGTTTCTGAAAACCTATGGCATCAACAAAAACCGGATGGTGCAAGCCAGGATGGCACGGTTGAATCTCTGGTCATATTGGTTCCGAATATCTGGTGTACCTCCAAGATCTGTGAAAGAGAATCATGTGCCCCATGATTCTGCCAAAAAAGTTGGGGCAAATCTACCATTCTGGGTGGGTGATAGTTATGGTACTCTCTGGGAAATCACCATTTTTAATGGGAAAATCCACTATTAATGGTCATGTTCAATAGCTATGTTAAATTACCAGAGGGTATATTCAATTCATATCCACGAATTTTATCAACCCATGCGACCTCGCCTCACCATGACTATGCGACCTCGCCTCCCCCGGGTCTGGGAAACAGATTGCCGCAGCTGGGCCGCGCTGGTGACACATGGTACCCAGAGTTTGGATTTCACCGTGATGGCGATCATGACGAGATCATGGCCGGTCATGGCTGCCAGTCATGATTAGAGCATGATTTTCTTCATGAATTAGAATCCAGGAGTATTTGTTATAGTAAGTGATTTTGTTTATAGAATAAAAATGAATAAAACAGATACTTTCTATACACAAATCAAAACAATCTAAAGAATTATCACTTACTGAGTGGGTAAGAACTATATAAAAATCACACAGCGACATTAATTGGATACCCACTACCTGGCACTGAAGTCTTTAGTTTCTATGAGCGTTTGGGATATTTTCCAAAGGTAAAAGTTATAAGATATCCAAAGATATTCACAACTAGTAGTCAAGTTTAGCCATCTTTCTTTTTACAGAAACCAAAGAAAAATAGACGTCGCCTCTCAACGGTGAAGTTCCAGACTCTTACCCTGGTTCCTGGCTGCGGCGCGCACAGGCGCGCCTCACCGGCAAGCTGGAAAATGGGGCTGCCACAGGTCTCCCCCCTGAACCACCAGAATTTGCCACGTGACAGGACTTATGAAAGGACTCACGGTGGATGATTAAGCAATAGATATGGCTATAGATGCGGATATTAGGTGGGTGTGTATGTACAATGTAGAATTATGTGTATATATATATTTACTTATTTATATATTTATATTATATTACGCAACCAGCTTCTAATGTGATTACACCCAATCGAGCATATCTTTACGCAGCCAACTTCAGATGTGATCATTTATTACAACCAAGTGAACAATGTTCAACAATGTTCAACAATGTTCAAAACCTGAAATGTAATCCTCTTACCCTCTGGTAAACGTTTACATAGCTATGGAAAGATCCACCCATTTTATAGCTGGGAAAATCCACGATTTCTATGGCCATTTTCAATAGCTACTTTTGACATAACCAGAGGGTATATCCCATTAAATCCCATTAAATCCCATTAAATCCCATTAAATCCCATTAAACCACCATTTTCCTATGGTTTTCCTATGGTTTTCCTCATCGTTTGGTTAGGTGATCTAGATGAGAATGCGATTCCCAGCTGATGATCAGAATCCCCCAGCTCGTGCGAACTCAATGGACGATGACATGGCTATCTGGGTAGATGGCACATGGCCATTTGATCTATGGTTAATAGATGTGAAAACATATTGGTTATATAATATTGGCCATTTCGGGATGATTTTTCCATATATATATATATCTGGGTAAATTATCATATTTCACCAACCTGAATAATCTGAATAGTAAGGCCATAAAAGGGGATGATTTCCCATATAAAAACCATGATTATTTAGGGTTCGGGAGAACACAGTGAGGTCGTGATGAAATTTACCCAGATGTATGGATATGTATGGAAAAATAAACATCATCCCAATGTTTTTAATACCCCCAGTCTGACTGGGCCCTGAGCATGGATCCAATACTAAACCAAAGTTTCTGGGGTGGTATTTAATGTTACTGTCAGGGCCTTGGGGGAGATTATACAACAAGTTCTTGGTCGGGCCGAGAAATCACAATTTCGCTCGGCTGGGAGTATTAGATTGTTTTTTGGACTAGACTGTGGATTGCCCTTTATTAATCTAACAGTTTGCTATGAAAGCCGCGGCCCGTTTGTAGATTATTTATTGGAAATGATTGTTTTCCGTAGCTGTGTTAAATGGTGCATGCACTTCTTCGAGGGAAACTATGTCCGGTAGCAGCTGCTGTTTCGAACACTCCACTCGAGCTCAGCACTCTCTTGCGCACTACCCCTGCGCAAAGACCTCCTGGTGCAAAACTTTGCGAAGAAGTGTTTTCAGCAAACTTGGATGCTACAGTCAGAAGTACTTTTACCTCGGGTTGAGAAAGTAAACCCCCATCTTCTGGGATGATATTCCGCCACCATCAGTTTTTTTTTTCAAAACACTTCTTCTGGTACGCAAAAAGCAGGCCAGCAAGAAAGTTATCAGCCAGTCCATTCCTTAGTCGCATTGGCGCAGCAATTTCAAAACTTATACGTGACAGGTCAGATGGAATTTTGATAGAATGGGGGGTCGCCTAAATTGATGGTGAAATAATGTCGCTATATATATATATATGTATATGATATATATATATATATATATGTATATATATCATATACATATATATACATATATATTGTTGGTTTTTAATGTTTCCATATTTTTTACAGCCAGTAATTATATAAATGCTACAATACACAATAACCTTACTTACCCACTACTGGTCCACTGGCGTTGTCTGTTGTGAAGCCATGCCATGTCATGCGCACATGCACCAGAGCGCTGAAACGGAGGACAGAATGAGCGATGTGACCAAGTAGACAGTTGATGATAAAGAACAGGGAGTCATTGTAAAACAGAACGGCAGAGCGCAGTTTTACCCTGGAGAAGACGTTATATTTCATGTGGAAATCATGAACTAATCTACTCTGATGGACCTGCCTCTGATGGATTTGACTGGACACAGCTGCCAAATGACTGGAGGAATTGTCACGAGATCTAAAACTGCGGAAAAACCAAACAAAGGCCAGAAAACAATCTCAGGGAGTCTTAGCTGAGAGCCCCCTTCCAAAGAGTGTAGAAATATCGTAAGTTCTTAGTTTTCCTTGTGTAGGTTCATTTGTTTTCCAAGTGTCTTTTCATATCCAGATGCGCATACTTCTCAAGTATTGTGTGCTGTACTATGGATGTATACTAAAGATTGTCTCATTTCGAAGGACTGTTTTACATCTTCCAAAATCCAATGCATACTTTAAAAGAAAACGAAACAATACGCAACATGTATTGTGATTACAGTAAATAGCACAGGCATTTCTATGATATGAGTATGTATGTATTCAGCAAAAATCAGAAGAGCACAGGCTGCTATGCACTTCAAATTCTGATCCTCCTTTGTTTCAGTCTCATTTCCTTCATCGGAACTGCAAGTGCAGCAACAGCAATGTGTTCTGCTTTAGCAAGATATCCAGTATTCCTCCGTCCTACCCCATTTGGGCGTCTCTGACAATAAGGTACCCAAAATGTTGATTCTGAATCATATGTCCTTATGACATTGCATTTTGGAGGGTATACACGGAAAAAACCACATTTTCAAACACATTCCAAGTATGAGTATTTCTCTAACTCGTTCTACAATTCAGCTGCTGCCCACTTGCCGTTTGCTTAAAAAAACCTTAGTCTTTTATGAAAACCCATGGATTCAGTCCCTATTTTTCAACAAATCCAGATATCACATTGTTGGTTATATCTATATATATATATATCCCATTAGATGTGTATCCCCCATTAAATCTCCATTGTACCACCATTGGTTGGGATTCTTCATCTCTCAATTCGTCCATGTTCACCTGGGATTTAAATCCTTAGTTTACCAAAGATTTCTCAGATATTCACAGAATGTGTCAAGATGATGAATTTTCCCGTTTTTAATCCCAATGATTTTACCACCATGACTCGGGATTCTGGACTATTCCCATGGTTTTCCCCCACTTTTCCCAGTCACCACGAGTCATTCGTACTTCTTATGGCGCTTCACTCGGCTGAATGGGCTGATGGAATCATCGAAGATGTATCGAAGAATTGCGCCTGGCGACGTCGATCTTTTCGAAGAAAAAAAGGAATACGGGATGGGAAATGGGGATATAGCCATGATATGGAGATGTTGAACAATTTTATGGGATTATGAACACCATTAAAAAAATGTTATGTTTTTTTTGTCCATGGAATTTTAAGCATTTTATGGTGATAAAATGGGGATATGACCCACAACATGGTGATTTAAGTGAACATCATCACCGACCCCCTTAGGTTGATAAACCCATCTAAGCCCACAAAAAAGACTTAAAATCGTGGTGTGTGGGTATCATCCATCCAGTTATAATATGTTATAATACTATCTCGCAGTTTAAGATGCTGCTATGGAAGCAAAAACACCATGTTTATATAAATATGTTGAATGTCTAAATTCGTGGAAATCATCGAACAAAATGGGCCATGTACACCATAGCAAACTGCTAACTGACCAGAGGGTAATAACATGTAATAACACCCTTTTTCTATGGGACCACGACAATTTCAGAGATTCAGCATCCCTCAAGACTCTTTTCGCACCCATTGAGCAACTGTTTTTGTGACCCGAGTCGTAGAGCAACTGACAACCCCCGGTTCGATGATCTGAGGAGTTTATTTTTGGCAAACCATCATAGTTTCAAACGAAATAATGATAAACCAAGGCAATCTTAGATACCCTCTGGTAATTTGTTACATAGCTATTGAAAATGGACCATTGAGTTCGTTGATTTTCCCATTAATAGCATGGTGATTTTCCAGTTCGCTATGTAACAAATTACCAAAGGGTACCCTGCAAAAACTGCAAAAATGGTGTTTCACTAGTTCTACCCTCTGGTAAACTGTCCCATAACTATGGAAAATCACCATTTTTAATGGGAAAATCCACTATGAATGGCCATTTTCAATAGCTATTTTGACATAACCAGAGGGTAGTTGATACCTGGCCCCAAACCGGCCAGGTAAGAAAGGCTCGGTGATTTTTCGGTCGACCCAGCACTGGCAACTGGGGATCATCCCAGTCACAGATCCCCTGGTGATTTTTTCGGCTGCGATTTTTTCCATTTTTTGACATCCCCTGGAGCAGAAAATCACAAAAATGGTGATCAAAATATCATCAATGGGAATTTCAGGATCCTAAAATGGAGGTACTGTACCATATTTCTGGCCATATTTTTGGGGGATATTCCCTATCAAAATATCACCAGATTTTTGAGCAGTGGTTGACCGTGGTGACCCCGGTGACCCACAAAATCGATGGCACCTGGCCACGACTTGCATTGGGGCAAGTTATCATAGTACCTGTGGTGGTGGCATTTTGGAGACCGTATAAACCGCCCATGGGAATATCCAACGAGAATATATACATAATATGTATATATATATATACATAATGTATAGTGTATATATATATATGATCATATTATGTATCTATACGTATATAAGGTGTGTATATCTATATATAAGGTGTGTGTATGTATGGATGGATGTATGTATGTATATATATATATGTATATGTATATGTATCTGTATATGTATATGTATATGTGGATGTATATATATATATATATGGGGTTGTCTCAAAAGCTAGGAACCCATTTTTTCCCACGGTTTGGACATGTTAATGTTTCGAAAATCATTTCGCCAGTGGAACGCGTACCATTTACTATGGAGGTATTTTCCATGTCACGTGCTGAATCAGCATGTGCTCAATATGGAGCACGGAATGGTTTGGTGGAAGGTGCCCTTGGTTCCAACGAAAAAAATAGTTCACATAGGTTTGCCTGAAAATAGAGTAGCCTAAATCTGATGCTTTCTCATCATTCTCCCTATGAAATTGCCATTTCTGGGATTTTTCGCATGCCCCATTGACCCCAAAAAGGCACATGATCAAGGTGGGCCATTCCACTGCCCGTTCGCCGGGAAACTGTCAAGTCCCACACCAACAAACACGACATAGGCAACTCGCTATCTTCTCACCAAAACTTGGACTTACCTATCCAACACCAACTTGCACCCAAGCGGTGTTTCTGCTGTTTCTGCTGGAAGAAGAAATATATATATATATACACATAAGAACGAGGATTTCAAACTTGACCTAAACACAAAAGAACACATGAATACATATTATATATAGAAAATAGATGTGTTTGTCTCAAGCTAGAGTGTCCCAAAAATTGATGGTTGATCATCATTTTTCCTCATGAGATGCCATAAAATGGGGCTAAATCTCCCATTTTCTTGTATCACACCCACGTTTTCCTACTAAAAACAGCAAGTTGACCTTTCCAAAAAAAGTGTATGTTCCATATATAAATCGGAGATAAATCTACTCATGTCCATGTCAGGTGGCTCCGGAGCAATTTCCTTGACCTTCGGCAGATTCGACCAAGCGATGTTGGGGAAATCGTGGTGCTCCTTGAGTCCGGCCAAGGATGGGAGTATATAGTATATATCATATATAGTAGCCTTGTAGCTGGTTGTTGCAATAAATAGGAAACACACACACACTATATATATATATATGTATACATATATATATATACATATATATATATATATACATATATATATAAGATATACAGTACAGTATATATATATATATAACATCACATAACTCACCTAAGCCAAGTTTTAATTCATTTTTAGACAAGGGGATTGCTTGGAAGCCACAGATTGGCTGATCTTTATTGAGTTACCACAGCAACCAAAACAATGCGGACTGGGGATCTTATGGGCTGGTCACCATCGCTACCCCACAGGTCATGAAATGTCAAGATATAATCTTCGAAGTGATGAAGATGTGGTACCAGTTATGTCTGTTGATTTGCAAAGCCGTCCAACTACTAGTAACATCTAGTAACTGTATAGCTGGTTCTACCTTTTCAACAACTGTTAGCCTACTGAACTAACAACTTACGCATCAGCAGGGGCTCAGCAGGTGCGCCAAAGGCACGTTATGATAGCCAACGTTGTAGGCCAAGCGATTGAGGGGGCCGTAGTAGGAGTAGGTCTCCTCAGTGAAAATCAATCACTGGAAGCTGCGTAAGTCGTGACATGTGAGAGGTTTCAACTTTCATGGTGTTGTAACTTGCCACTGAACCTAACTGAACCCGACTGAACCCGACTGAACCCTAAACCGAAATCAACTTCCGTTTCATCCCAGTGCTCCATCTGAACCTCAGACAAGTGCAAAAGTGGCTTGACATCAGAGCGGCTTCAGCTTTGTTTCTCCTTTTCAAAGTGCCCTGAAGAGTCACTGAACCACCACAGGATCTGGTTGGTAGGCATAGCTAGTACTTCGCAGCCCCGTGCGAGGTATGGATAGCTAGCTAGCTAGGTGGGTATGTAATTAAATTAAGTTAGATTGGATTAAATCAAACTAGATTAGGTTAGATTCGAATAGATGAGGATCAGATTCGATTAGATTAGAGAAGATACGATAAGATAAGAGATGAATACCTATGTTTCTCTGTTTTCCCCATGGTTTTTTCAGGCTGTATCTCCCGATTATGAAAAAAAACGACCCTGAAGCATCAAAATCGCCCAGTTTCTGCATCCCCTTCCATCACGTAGTGTTCCGCAATGAAATGTCCTCCCAACGGATGGGCCGAGGTTCGCCGAGGTTCATCATCCCCAACAATCCCCAAGTAATATGGGGATGGGGAGATAGGCACCCTGGTACCGTGCTTCTGTTCACCCCAAGTCATAGCTGGTAAATAAATGGATGTGAATAACCCACTAAAATATGGTATAAAAATAGGTATTGACCCATACCCATATCATTTTTTTGGTAATACTGCTATTAGTATATGTTAGATTGTGGTAGTAGAATCCAAAAAAAAAACGGTATGTGTTTTCGCCATGTCGTCTTCCGATTTCCGGATTTCGTGATTGCACCCCAGCCGGCATTCCAGAACCTCCCCATGGTTCCTGCCGTGGGATGAATGGATCCAGCAAAGAAGGTAGACAATAAAAAGTACACGACCTCGCCATGGACGAGTTGAGGACTTAATTGGAACCAGGACGGGTTCCAAACAAAAAACTCAAAACAACATCGGTAGATTTCATGGGATTTCATGGGATTTAATGGTGATTTCGTGGGATTTAGATAGCTAAGTTATGCTAAGTTGGCACTCCCATAACTCCAATAAATGTTGGGTTGATTGCAAATATATGCAAATATAACGAACTGGTTCGTTTGTAAAACAATTTATAACTGGGGGGCACCACCTTGTAGGGGTCTCCAAATCGAAAAATATTTCCAGGATGTGAAATCGATGAGATTTCCTCATTTCCAGGTGTCTAACTCTTCTATTTATATATATATATATACATATACATACAGTATATAGACAGACTGACTGACTGACTGACTGACAGACTGACTGACAGACTGACTGACAGACAGACAGACAGAAATCCACCCACCCACCCATCCAGCCATCCAGCCATCCAGCCATCCAGCCATCCAGCCATCCAGCCATCCACCCATCCACACATCCACCCATCCACCCATCCACCCATCCACCCATCCACCCATCCACCCATCCGCACATCCACCCATCCACCCACCACCCATCCACCCATCCACCCATCCACCCATCCACCCATCCAACCCATCCACCCATCCATCCATCCATCCATCCATCCATCCTTCCATCCATCCATCCATCCATCCATGTGTGCCTGCATGCATGCATACATGCCAACAGTGCAATGCAGTGCAGTGCAATGCAGTGCAGTGCAATGCAATGCAATGCAATACAAAACAATACATTTCAACATGCAATATGTAATATGCAATATGCAATATGCAATATACAATATGCAATATACAATATACAATACACAATACACAATTCAATACCCAATACAACACAATACAACACAATACAACACAATACACAATACAAAATAAAATACAATACACCATACAATGCAATATACAATGAGATATACAATATACAATACATACTATACACTATACAATTCAATATACAAAATACAATATATATATATACAATGTACAATGTGCAATGTGCAATGTGCAATGTACAATATACAATACACAATTGTCCTCATCCCAGTGGACATCCCTAGCATTGGGCACCACATCATATTCCACTTGCTTATCCCCGAGATTGTGTTTCACTTATATTCCCTTGGCTTATCCCAACTAGATCCCACCCATATCCATCATCCCAACTATATCCCATTTATATCGCAATGATATCGCAACATTTATCTAAATATATCCACTACATATCCACTACTATATCCACTACTGGCTTATCCCAACTATCTGGGTAAATTATAATAATTCACTGAACTGAATTAAGGCCATTTGGGGATGATTTCCCTTACTAACCATGATTTCCAGTGAGGTCGCAGTGAGGTCGTTATAATTTGCCCAGAACTATTCCCACACATATCTATATTCCAATGGCCTGCCTTTCTCATTTTCGCATCACCAGAAGTGGAACCAACTGAGCCTCCAACTGCCTGCCAGCCGACCTCGGACCAAGCGGAGCAAGCGGAGCAAGGGTCCCGAGCCCGCTCCACTTTTAGAAACCGTTGGGAGTTCCGTTGGGAGTTCCTAAGTTGCTTACTTAAAATTGGGATGTGACGTGATTTTACCAGCAAAAATGGTGATTTCATCGGATTTCATGGGATTCATTTGGCTAAAGTTGGTTGAGTCATAGCTCCAAAAAACTCGTAGAAAAACGGGGCTGAAGTATCCTCCATTCACAAAACGGGCACCAACTATGATTTGGTGCTTGAATCCCCTGATTTGAGGTCATAGTTCATGTACCATTGAAAAATACCACCACTATTTGATACAAGTGTGTATATGTATAGTATAGATATAGATATACTATTCTACATATACTACATATATATATATAGAATAGAGTGTGTATGCGTACATATATATATATACATCTATAAGTAAAGCACCCAATTTTGTACGCTTTTGACCACAGCTAAGAAATCATAAAGCGATTGCCAGGCAGCAGTCACAAACATGAAATAGTCGAAGAAGGCCATGACCTTGCTGTAAGCAGGGATCCATATGGATCCATCCCAATGCCAAAAAAAAACACCAGATCAGTCATCAACGACGGAGCATTGGGATATTTGGGATGAATCTGGCTTTGTCTATTTTTTTTTCTATACCCCGGTATGTTGTTGCCATTTGAATGAGAGAAATGATCATCGTCTCGACGGGATTTTATGGTGTCGCCAGTATAACTTGAGGGAAGCCCATCGCACAGTTGCACAGTTGAAGGAGTCTAGCCATGGTGAGTTGGCTTAATTTCTGGTGGGATAAATGCTGTTTACCCATATATGTATATATATGATACATAATCCCAAGCAGAAAATGTCGGCCATTCCAAGGCATGCGGTGAAGAAATAAGGATCCACTGAAACAAAGCGGGACATAAGGTCTGGATTTCCAGACTGCAGTAGCATTGATCCAAAAGAGCCTGTCCAATAGGTGCCCAGTGTTGCTGATCGACGGATAGATAGCTGGTTAGTGGTGATTGCTATTGGATCCACCCCAACAAAATGTTCCTGATTGGGGAGAATACAATCCAATTTCTTTTGTTGAAAATACAACATGATTAAAACCACCATGATTACGCTTTGATGTTTTACATTCTATTCTATGGCATCAAGTTCAATGCAAAGCCTCATCTATGTTGGTTTTGTGGAGGGTGCATCCATCACCAAGCAGCCTCGGACTCATCCGTATGATCCATATGTGTCAAATTCATCCATCTCGATAAACCAAAGGAAATTTAGCAACCTGAAATAAGGCCAATATGGGGATGATTACGCATTTTACAACAACGTCGCACTGAAGTGGTTGTAACAATTATAATTTATAACTTATCCATGATCATGATGAACCATACATCAGTAATATCGTAACAGAATTGTGTGACGATTCTGATCTCCCCAAACATGTTTTTCGGGTCATTGAGATCCAGTGTCAAAACCGAGGTGCGAAGAAGTTGCAGAGCACCCAGAAATCCAAGGGCACCAAGTCTGGTTTGATGAACATCGGACGCAAGGCATAGGCGAAAATCTGAAAGAACATGAAAATTGCCTAGCGCGATCAATGGAATGGTTGCGAACTCATCAGTGCAAGTTTCACGTCACGGATCAAAAAATGACATTGAAAACTTGCATGATTTGGTGATATAACCTATAATATATATATATATATAATTATATATATATCATCTATATGTTTACCTATATACACAAATACTAAAACCTCAGGCCGAAATGAGGGTGTTGAGGTGTTGAGGACTCCATTTCAAGGCTGCAAGGCGAGGAAAAACCGGCGAAATGGTTCTGCCAAAGAGACTGACTGGGTCGAAGTGGCATTCAAATGGTTTCAGATGTGCGTGGGTCCGGTCACTGCATAATTACCCATCATCCATGTAACCATCAAAAAACGGGATAAATAACGGCATCATCCATGTAACCATCCTTTTATAAGTCAAATATCGGATGGTTTAGCACCCAAAAAACACACCATCCTGATGTTTTTGGCAATGGATCCATCGGAGCTTCTGACTATGCGCCTCATGTAACACGCATCATTCACTATTTATCAGTACTGGTGCGTTTTACGTAGGGAGATGGGTTGCTGTTTTTTTTTTTGTGGGATTACTATTGATACTTAGCCAGTGGATCATTCCCGAAAAAATCCCTACTAAATCTACTAATTAAGCACAAGTAAATTTATCCTTATTTACCATTTAACATAGCCATGGAAAATCACCATGTTTAAGAACGGTCAACCATCTATTTCAATGGGCCATCTATACCATGGCTATGTTAAATAACCAGAGGGTAATATAAACATATTCACAATGGCCATTTATAGTGGATTTTCCCATTAAAAATGGTGATTTTCCATAGTTTTTTGTATGTTTACCACAGGGTATTACCGGGTTCTTCAAAAAAAACAGCCATCCTATGAAATAGAAGACCATAGACGTTATGTCGCCCCCGTCCCCCAATTCAATGTTGTACTCTGAATTATGTGTTTGGCGGCCTTCAAAAAAAACAGCCATTTCTGTTCATGGTGTTCGGCACTTCCAAGCACAACATTGAAGTTGGGGGTTGCGGGGGTAATGTATGTATCTATGTGGTTGTTTGTGGATGGCTGTTTTTTTTTGAAGAACCCGGGGAGAGATTTTTTGTTCGGAGTTCTTTTTCGTGCTGTTGATGTGCATGTCAATGTAATGTTGATTATCACACACACACACATACCCATTGTCAAAGCATACGCTCGCGGATTCTGTGACAACTCCACAAAGGTGGATGCTAAGGGCCACCATCAGCTTCTGAAAACTATGCAACTTCATTCATTGTCCAAAAATATAGGTGCAGAATATGTGACAACCGCACAAAGGAGGACTCTAAGGGCAACCATCAACGTCTGAAACTTACACAACCTCATCTCAATACATATTTTGTATCATATGTGACGACCCCACAAAGGTGGATGCTAAGGGCCACCATCACCATTGTCCACAAATATTTGTCTGCAATATGTGACAACCCCAGAAAGGTGGATGCTAAGGGCCACCATCACCTTCTGAAAAGTAACAAACCTCATTGTCCACAATTTGGAAAGTGGATGCGAAGGGCCACCATCACCATTGTCCAAAAATATGTGTCTGCAATATGTGACAACCCCACAAAGGTGGATGCTAAGGGCCACCATCACCATTGTCCAAAAATATGTGTCTGCAATATGTGACAACCCCAGAAAGGTGGATGCTAAGGGCCACCATCACCTTCTGAAAATTAACAAAACCTCATTGTCCACAATTTGTGACAACCCCACAAAGGTGGATGCTAAGGGCCACCATCACCATTGTCCAAAAATATGTGTCTGCAATATGTGACAACCCCAGAAAGGTGGATGCTAAGGGCCACCATCACCTTCTGAAAATTAACAAACCTCATTGTCCACAATTTGTGACAACCCCACGGAAGTGGATGCTAAGGGCCACCATCCGCTTCTGCAAAGTACGCAACTTCATTGTCCAAAAATAGAAGTGTATAATATGTGGCAACTCCACAAAGGAGGATGCTAAGGGCCACCATCAATGGCTGCAAAGTGCTGTTCTCATGCGCACAGGTGTGTCGCACTGCTCCTCCACATCTGCGCTTATTGAGGTTCAGGTGGGGAGCGTGCGTTTCCACCAGGTGGGTGCCACTCCACATTGCTGTCCCGAGAGGTGTTCCGCAAAGCCCTTCCACATCTGGACCTGCTGAGGCCGGGCCGAAGCAGCTCCAGAGTGGGCCGGCGGCGCGTTCGCCAGGTGGCACGCCACTCTCATGTGCTAAGTAGTCTGCAATGCTCCTCCACAACTGGTCGTGCTGAGGTTAGCCAAGGCATCTCCGGGGGTGGGGCTGTTGCGCAGTCGCGAAGCACCAGTCACATGTCATGAGCTCAACAGATATGTTTTCGCCATACTCCAAATTCCATACTCCATACTCAGGAGTCGTGCTTTTTACTCCTATGATCTACTCAGATGAACCCCTGCCCTTTGCCATATCCGCACCCCGCCAGGCCCAAGAACTGTAGCCGCTGTAGCGGCCGTAGCCGACATGGCGCCGCACCTGACAGCCATGGAGTTGGACAAGATGTCCGTCCTTCAAGCTGCAGGTAAGACCCCGATTCAAATTGCGGCTTGGTTAGCGGCACAACGCCACCGCAAAGGCATAGTGCCTCCTAACCTGACGGCTGTCCGACGGGCGCTACATGGTCAATCCCACAGAAGGGGCCAGCCAGAAACCCGCGGCCGCAAGAGGACACTGAGTCAGAAGCAGGTGCGCAAGTTAAACCAAGTCCGCAAAACTTTGTTGAAAAAGGCGGGGTCAGAGTCTAAGGTGACTTATCAACAAATCCTGCGAGTTGGCCGGGTCGCTCGGAAAGTGTCGAGCACAACCTTGGCCAAAAACTTCAAAGCAGCGGGCTTTGATGTCAAGTGGCGTCCAGCCCGGGAAGGCCAGACGCTGGACAAGCAGGCTCGGGCGGAGCGTTTGCGCATTTGCCGCAAGTGGCGCTACTTACCCTCCAACTATTGGACGCACAAGGTTGATGCCATCTTGGACAACAAGAAATTTCACATCCCTACTCATGTTGCGGCCCTGCGGTCCCTCAAGAGAGGAAGGGTCAAGGGACACTTGCGGACACGGGCAGAAGGCACTGCCGAACAGTGCAAGAAGCCCAACCCACGCAAGAACCGAGTGAACCCTGGCGGCTCCGTGACCGTCTGTGCAGGCATCATTGATGGGAGATTGCGCCTTTGGCGGCACTTGGACAAAGGCAAGTGGAACGGCCTTGTTGCTGCCAATATCTACCGGGGTCCTTTGCTCAAAGCTCTCCAAAAGTACCGTGGCATGAAGGCCAAATATGTGGTGTTGGAGGACAACGACCCAAGCGGCTTCAAGTCTGGCAAAGGGCTGAATGCCAAGAAGGAAGTTGGCATCAGGGCTATCCCATTTCCGAAATATTCACCTGATTTGAACCCGCTTGATTTTCATGTCTGGCACGCTGTGGAGGAGCGGGTCATCAAAAAGCTTCAAGGCCCAACTTCTGTCAAACAGTTTGGCACTTTGCTTCGTGCAGCTGCTAGATCTTTGAAGAGAGATGCCATCCTTGCAGCTGTTGCGTCCATCAAAGACCGGGCGAAAGCTGTTGTGGCCGCCAAAGGCGGAACCATTGCCCGGGATTGACGGGCTCATTCGTTTCACATCGCATTGCTTCGTGCATTGCCAAGGCCGGACTCTTGCATGCCTGATTGAGCCAAACAGGGGCGCAGCAGCTTGCGAGGTTTTGGTTGGATAAGCATTACTGCAGCTCCAAGGTTCTCAGCTTCCAAAGTCTCGCGCCTGCCACCTAAAACTCTTGTGCCTGCCACGCTTTTCCTATTTCCCCAGTTCAGGTATGTGATTTGCATGGCCCTGCCCATGCAACGCACATGCAACACACATGCAACACACATGCAACACGACATGCAACACGACATGCAACACGAGCATTTTCCCTGTAAATTTACAGTCAACGTGCAGGATTTGACGTTTGCAGCCCAACTCCGGTCTTAGAATGAAAAGTCTAGATTTTCACCCCCGCGGGCACATTTCTTGGAAATTTACAGGGAAAATGCTCGTGTTGCATGTCGTGTTGCATGTGTGTTGCATGTGTGTTGCATGTGCGTTGCATGGCAGGTGTGTAGGATTGAGCATCCACTGTCCAAACTGGTGCGCGTGCCACGCGGAACGACAGCCAGTGCATCCCCACAGTGCGGAATGAGGTTGCTTAAGACTGTCGCTGTATGTCGTATGTAGTTAACGCAGCGCGACCAATGTTGGCACGCCTGCACAGGTGCAAGCACACACCCACACACACAAAGAAACACCAGCACACCAATCTAATTCCGATTTTCTGACACTGTGTCGGCATCATTCTCACATTTGTCTGCAGCCATTTTGCTTTCTGGGCTTTGTACAGCGTTTTTCCCCATGGAAGCACATGCTGTGCCAGCTGAAGCAAGCCTGAAGGCAGCAGTGCAGGAACTGTTGCCAGTCGTGGATTTCCAAAGATGCAGCATTCACGACTTCCGCCGCAAGCTTGAAGAGCACCTGCAAGTCACAGCTGGCAGTTTGGAACCCCATTCGCAGGAAGTTCGAAGCATTCTGGAAGAGTGTTTGCAAAATGCCATGGCCCAAAAGGCAAGCATGGCTCAGCAATCCACTGACTGCGACATGGGCGTGGAAGATGTCAGCAAATCCAAAAGAGCCTATTTGGTCACTTTGCCCCACACAGAGGCAGAGACCAGTGCTGATGGTCACAGGCTTGTGCCCCCAAGAAATTTCACACCTCAACAGATTGGAGCCTGCTTTCATGCTGCTTTGACAGCAACACAAGCGGGTCGACAGGCCCCATTGGCTTTCCTTCTCCTCTCTGTCTTCTTGGAAAGGCACAACAACGGGGAAGTTCATTACCATGTGGCTTTACTTGCTGACAGGTGCTTGAGGTTCATGCCGCTGAAGCGCGAGCTTCTCCGT